AGGTCCCAGTATGGCTTGGCAGGGCTCTGCTTCCGACTATGTCAGCCTTCTTACCTTCCATCCCTACCCTATCCATTCTACTTAACACACCAAATGAGTCTTTCTAGAAGGTATTGATTCACCTTGTCTCATACTCAACCTTCAGTGGACAAATTCCTATCTAGCATTTACAATATGCTCTTACTTTGTATCTCCAGCTGTAATTTTTACTACTTACCATCCATTACTGGATGCCCATGAGCATGTCTTTCCTTCAGACTTGTCCACTCTGAACAACAGTCTTTTTCTCTCTGTGACACTTGCCTGAGTCTTTCCTTATTCCTCCTTACACAATTGTATTTGCCCCTTTTTTTACCTTTAGGTATGTCTTCTTCTTCCTCTTCTTTTGACATCTTGGCCATTCAGCAAATGTCCAAGGTCAAATCTTACTCATTCTACAGTTCTTACTTTAGTTTGCTTTCTCCAGAAAGCCTTCCCTGCTACCTACTCCTCTCCCTTACACTTTGGTACTTAATCCTGGCTCATCCCCTCATTGTAACTTCCTATTCACTTGTCTGTATGCACCTAAAGGTATGGTTCATTTCTTGTTAATATTGCATTCTGAGCAACTAACATAGCACTTTGCATAGAGTATGTGTACTGTACATATTTGTTCCATAGATACACATTGCCATAATCCATCATGTACCTATTATGGAAGAGTAGCCACCATTTTTATTCTTAGTTTTACTTTTGTAGTGCTGGTGATGAAACCCATGATCTCATACATGCTAGGCAAGCTGTCTGCCACTGAACCATCAACCCTTCAAGCCAACTGTTCTTGAGCCACATAGCTTCATGTTGTACAAGTAGGAGAAAAGACAATCTGAAATCAAGCAGACCAGGGTTAGAATTATGTCTCAATGAGTGGCATGGCCTTTGGAAATTTGCTCGCACTCTTAATACATTTCTCATTTTGCTCTTTTGTAAAATGGAGATGGAAATAGTAATCTTGCAAGATTGTGGTAAGGATTTCAAGTGGCCATGTCTGTATCATGCTTAGCCTGCCAGCTGGCCTCTGACAGGTGTGTGATGTCTGTTAGTTCCTTTCAACAATCACTTGTGGGATGAATGAATGAGAAACTGTCAGATGGCTTCCTTAAAACTGTGACAGAGATTGAGTGTGTTGTTTGCATCTCATGGACTCATCTCCAGTTATAGCCAAGAAAGGAAGGTGCCAGTGAAGAGCCTTACTAGGCAGGAGTTTGTTTTGGGTGGTGCTCTTTAGAGCAATGAGGTGAGGGTTTGTGCACCCTGATTTCTAACCTGCTGATACCCCAGCTTCTTTCTACACAATTAGGGCAGTTTCAAAATGAATTGGAACTGATAATGTGGTTCTCTTGAGTAAAAATGTCATTTTCATACTCTATGAAATAGTTATCAAGTCAATTCATGAAATGTCTAATAGACAGGTGTTTAGATAACAGAACTGTGAAAGATTTCTCAAGAGCAAAGATACTGGTGGCTTATGGTAGATTTGGACATTATCTGATTCTTAAAAGCAGGGTCCTCTGGCTTCTTTGAGAACAGCTACAGAGGAAATATATTTTAAAATATGCAGTTTCATTTATAAAATAAAAATAAGAGTTGGGCACATTCATGCTCACCTCTAATCCCAGCTATGTGGGAGGTGTAGGTAGGAGGATCACGGTCCGAGGTTGGTCTTGGGCAAAAGCATAAGAACTTATCTGAAAAATAACTGAAGAAAAAGGGGCTGGGGGCATGGCTCAAATGGTAGAGCACCTGTCTAGCAGATACAAGGACCTGATTCATGAACTGTCCCTCTTGACAAAAAACTCATTTAGGGACAGAAGAAATGCCACAGAAAAAGCCAGTCATGCAAAATCAAGCTAATACAGTGTATGCTGTTATACAAGTGCTGTGAGGTGATCCACAATCAACTATACAGACCCAGAAATTCGTTATTTTATACGCTACTCATTAACTGGTATTCTGCCTTCCCTCTTTCCTCTGCACACTGTACTCAAATCATTTTCATTCAATAACTCTTTGCATATTAATTAGGCCTTGCCATCAGTGACTTTTTCTTAGAAAACAAAACCCACACTCTTAAATCTGAATTCCATTCTTCTCAGTTATCTACCACCCTAGCAGGGTCTGTAACAAACTACCTACCTACTACCTACTTGCAAGGTTTCTGCCTGCTACCTTCGTACAAGGATCCTACTTATGCTACCTAGTACCATCTTACAAGGGTCCTACTTAGACTTCCCATTACCATCCTGCAAGGATCTTCTGCTTTAGGTAAACCATGCACATCATATCCCAAAAGAAGGCAGATGTGAGTAACTTAGAGTTCTCCTGAATACCATTTAGAATCAAAATTTCCTCCTTTGAGATCCTATTCCTATAACTCTGATACATAACATTGGATTTTGAGAATGGATCTGAAGGAATAGGAAATGATGGGGGTAGATACCGAGAACACACAGCCTAATTAATGAATCTAGGAAATATATTTTCAATTGATTGTTTCAAAGTGTTGTGTAGGACTTGCTTATTGTTGGGAACTCAAAAGAAGTACTTTATACAGTCACTTCAGGAGCTTATGGTATTAAAATAAGATGTCAGCAAAATGGTTTGAAGCCAGAATTCAGGAATCGTTTTCTGACTGAAGCTTAGTGTATTTTTGTTGTTGAGTTCCCTAAATCCCTTGGCCCCAAATACATTTAGGTAGCATATCTGCCATTGTTCCATTTATACTTCCTCAGCTTTTCAGCCTCCTGGCAGCAGAAGACCAGCCAGGATGTTAGCCCTTGCTATGAGACAACGCAAGCCATCTTCCTTCATTCCCCGGGGTGTTATTATGTTCTCAGTGCTTTCAGTGCAGTTAGAGGATGAATAGCCACAGGGTATACTTCATTCAAACCTGGTTTAAATAGTTTTATGAGTATTGTGGAAAATGAGTGCCAAATTAATGAGATTTCTTTCTTTCTTTCTTTCTTTTTTTTTTTTTGGTGGTTAGTACTGGGGATTGAACTCAGTGTTGGTTATTTTTGAGTTAGGGTCTCTTTATGCTCCAGCTGGCCTGGACTGCACTCCTCCTATTTGTGCTTCCCTTCATAGCTAGAATAATAGATGTGCACCACTGTACCCAGCCATTAGTTGAGATGGGGTCTTGAAAACTTTTGTCCTGGCTGACCTTGAATTGCGATCTTCCCAATGTCTGCTATCTGAGAAGCTAGGATTACTGTGCCCAATGACAAGGTTTTTACAGTGGGCTCAATACCTTATTCACATTTGAGTTCAATTATCACTTTTTTCTGTGACAATATATTCTCTTCAGTTATTTTCACTTAGCTTGAGTGAATGGACCATTTCAAAAAGGGGGGATAGATAATGAGCAACTGAATGTAAATAATGGGCTGAATTCTTGTGTGCTCCAGTTAGAGAATCTTGCAGGGGTTAGCAAGCTGTCTTGGAGAATGAGAATGTTACCTTAGGAGCTACATTTGTAGCTCTTTCTTACCAACAGATTTAATTACATCAAATTCTAGCAGAGTTTGGTTTTCCTAATTAGGGTTTTTATGGGGGTGAAGGGGTTGTAAGAGAAGAGTGAAGGAATAAAAAGAAAAGGAAAAAGAACAAAAGAAAGTTGAGTGTGAGCCAGTATGGATTAGACTCTTATTCTCATGAACTCCTCCCATGAATCTTTCCGCTTTCTCTTTTATATCTTAATGTTTAACCCACCATCTCATTTGAAGAATGTTAAGAGTCTTCTGTTAAAATGATACCTATTTTGTGTTGAGGACCAGGCTTCATGTACACTATGTATTACAAGCATTTCATAAAACACATAGTTTTATTAAACACATTTCATGTATCATTTTTCTTTTTCTTTTTTTTTTTTGGTGGTACTTGACTGAATTCAAGGCCTCATGCTTGCTAGGTAACCACTCTACCATGTGGTGGCCTTAGATGATTGATCCCTCTACCTTTTCCTCCCAAAAGACTGGAACTATAGATGTGTACCACCATGCCCAGCTTTTATTTTGCTTTATATAATTATCTTATGCATATTACTTCACTCAGTCCTCTTACCTTATGAGGAAAATATTATTATTCGCATTTTATAGTTGATAACTGAGGTTTATATTAACAAGCAAATCCAGGCTCACTTTAGTAACTGGTGGAGGCAGGATTTGTGCATATCTGGATTCTTCTGGTTTCAAAGGGTAAGGTTTTAAACATTGCAAAATATGGCCATCCACAGAATGCATTTGTCTCCCTTAGACAGTGCTCAGTGGATAGTATATTTTAGGGAGCTCATAAAACTAGTTAGGTGGCACAAATCCCCAAATATTGGGAGAAATGGATAATTCTTGTCTAGTAACCAATGTCATTAACCCACCACTTAACTGAAAAATGAGGTGAGTTTTATAATATAAATTCATTTTTTGCTTTTTCTTTGGCATTTGCCACCTATTAGTTCTATGATACTGGAATGACAGGTGCTTTATTTATTTATTTTTTTGATGGCAAAGGAACAGAGTTTATTTTTTTTTAATTCATGGTTGACATGGTATCCAGCGAAGGGAAGCTTTGTAAATAACTTAGATAAGCAAGGAAGATGAACAACAACAAAAACCCTCTTGACTTGTCAGTTGACAGGTGCTTTAAAAGAGCAAGATGACATAACAAGAAAAAGCAGGTGTGTATATATTTAAGATGTTTAATATGCTTCCCTGCTGTTTATTTGAAGGTTAAAAAAAAAGTGGTCAAGAAATGGATGAAAATAAACATACCAGACATTCTTCTCATTTCCTGGGAACGTAGTGAGCAAACAGCAAGGAAAGCAATATTTGGTTCTGTCCTACTATCATGTATTTGGATAACTTTTACTTACGTGTGATTGGTTAATATGAAGTCATGGTTCCACGAGGGATAACCTCTAGAGATTGCTCTCCTAATATATATTCCTTTATCTTTCCTGGTCACAGAGGCAGGGACCTATCAATACTTTTGAAGATCCTCGAATGACTTGTGGTTTCCAGTCCAATTATCACCAGCAAAGACCTTGCTACTCATTCTGGGATGAGATGGCTACTCAGGAAGTTCCTACTGGTCTCGAACACTGTGGCTCAGGTAGGAAGATAAACAAAAGCTGGAATGAGGATAGAGTTGAAGGACAAGGGAAATTTGATGAGGGCTGAATTCTCTGAAATTACAGCTGACATGGCTTGCGTGGGTATGGGCACTATTGTTCTCTAATGGGAAAGTCCCTGGCCCTGTCAATAATTTTGTGTTACTTTATTGTCCAACAGGAAGATTAGACTCCAGGAATGGACTCAAGAAAGGGTCTTTATTTTGTAAATAGTTTTGCCTACTGTGTACTTCCTAACACCCACTTAGGTGGGGCTGTTGATAAAAGCTCCAAGTTTTGCAATCATAAAGGATGAACTGGGAAAACAGAGGTGTGCTGATTAATCTTCTTATAAAACATAATTTCTTCCCATTCATAACCTCTTCCACTATGCTGTTTCTGCTCATGCCCACCTGCATCTGGCCTCTCCTCTCTGCTCCTCTCTCTAGTCCTTCTATCCCAGTGGTCCCTTCTCTCTGCATTCCTTCTCCTTCCTGGGCTTGCCGGTTACAGTGCTGCCCTCTGGTGAACACGAAGCAGACTCCTCCAGAGACTTCTCTGGAATAAGTGGATCTACTCTCCCCTGGACCTGAGAAGTCTAAAGTCCTTACCTCCGTTCTGTTTTCAGGACTCTGTTTGTCATTAATTCCATTTGTCTGTGTTTACGTACTTGCTTAAAAAAAACAAATGCAAAAGTTGAATTTGGGGATTCTGAAATGATTGATTCAGATATTAAGTTTAATTTTCCATGAGACCATATCATGATACTAAATCCAAATACCAAAAAGCCAGTCAAAATTTATGTTTTTCCTCGGGATGAATTCTTATCATAAGAAATGTCATTACTCTTGCGTATTGAAAATATGTAATTCTGAAGAATTACATGGGCGATGCCATGGGTTTGGGGGAGTTGATGGAAATAGCTTTAATGTGATTTTTTTTTAAGTCACTATCCTTTTACCTCACAATTTTATGGTAATCTGCTTTTATAATAGTAGAAAAATAAAACAAGTGTTAGCTTTGTTGTTCACACTTTATCTCTCATTAGAAATGAACAGATGGGTACAGGGCAGGAGGCTGTGATACTTGGTGGGGTGTTGTGAAAGGATGGGGAAGACAGGAGAGGTGCTTTCCACTTACCTGGTTCTTCTCCAGGGCGGAATGAGATCAGTTCCTCTACTCCATGCTGTCTTCTCCCAATAGCCATTGGTCTTTGAGGTATTCTTTGGAAGCACCCTAGATTATATATATAATAACATGTATACTATCATATTACACATCTGTCATATTTTGCTTGGTGTCTCAGTTCCTCAAAGTATAAATATAAATATCTCATCCATCTACCCATTTTACAAGGAGGCTTGGAAGATTCTGCACTTGTTCACAGGTTAGACTTAAGACTTAAAATTTACTGGGTGCTGGTGGCTCATGCCTGTAAATCCTACCTACTTAGGAGGCAGAGATTAGGAGGATGGAGGGTCAAAGCCAGCCTAGGAAAATAGTTCATGAGATTGCATCTTAAAAATACCTGAAACAAAAGGTGCTGGCGGAGTGGCTCAGGTGTTGGCCCTGAGATCAAGCCCCAGTACCACAAAAAAAAAAAAAAAAGACTTAAAAATTTAAGAACATGAGAAAAATTGTTTCTTTAAACTTCTAAATAATAGACATTATTTATAAAAACAAAAGATCAAAATGGTTGTCTCTATTCACATAATTCATAAATGCTATTAGTGCCACAAGGATTAAGCTTTATATCTCCCAATACAACTGAGATTAAAGAAATATTGTATTAAAGTTTCGACTCTGGATGATACCTGTGCTTGCTAGAAGTTACATCTTATTAACGACTGTGGTTATCTCCACACTGCCCATGGCCTCAAAATGAGAATGTCTTTTTTCACATTTAAGAGACATGTTCCTCCAGGCGCCAGTGGCTCACCCCTGTAATCTTAGCTACTCAGGAAGCAGAGATCAGGAGGATCACAGTTCAAAGCCAGCCTGGGGAAATAGTTCATGAGACCCTATCTTGAAAAATCCTTCACAAAAATATGGCTGGTGGAGTGAGTCAAGGTGAAGGCCCTGAGTTCAAGCCCCAATACCCTCACTCCCCCCCAACCCACCCACACAAAGACATGTTCCTCTCTTTCTTAACTGAGAAGCACAGAAACTCCCAAGTGGAGATGATTTTTTACTCTTCTCCTGGCCAAGGTTCTCAAAGGTTAAACAGTGTTTTTTATATCAGGGCTAATGAGACAGTGACTGTGAGGCATATGAAGACCTCTCAGGACAAAACTGCCTTTAAAATGAAGGGACTTACTGGCAGTATGCTATCATCTTCTTTCCATAGTCTACTTTATTGTTGTGAGATGAAAATTGGGATCACCCAGCCTTGTGGCTTTGGGGTAGGATGGGAAGGTTGGAGCATATTATAACCATTCCTAGAATGACCTGCATTGCCATCCCCTGCAGCTCAGAATAGTAAACAGCTCCCCATGGGGGTTTAGCTCCCTACCAGTTGGTGGCAATCTCTTTGCAGATGTGGGCCCTAGATCCCACTTCCCCAGGCTCCCTCTGATGGAAGTATCTGGCAAGAACCTTGAGCTTTTCCAGCCCCTCCTTTGCCTTGTGAGCTATTCAGATGAAGGAGTTGAAGGAATTCTTTTCTGGGCTGTGGTCCAGGTTGACGCAGTGATGGGTGTTGTTTGGAAGGCGATTGTGGGGTTATAAGGAAGGGAGATGAAGACATGTACCAACCAATGCTTTCTCCAGCTGTGGCACATTTCCTTGGAGATGTGTTGAATAAAAAGAAAGGGAGAAAAAAATACTGTACATTTTTTCATCTTCATCTTCTTTTATCCTATTTATAACTTCAGTTTCCTTCCCGTCCTCCATCTCATGGACTTCCCACTCCTGCTCCCCCTCACGTTTGTGCTCTCAGAAGGGATGAATGAACGTCTTTTCCAAGGATTACACATCTGTCAGTGACTGGAATACTGACGGGGGGGGCCATGGAGGAATGGTCAGGACCCCTCTCAGCAGCCTTTATCAGAATGTTGTTTCCATTCACAAAAGGGCAGAGGCTGAGAAGGACGAGAGGAATAGAGGGAGGGAGGGTGAAGAAAGAATAAAACTGAGTGAAAACATGAATGGAAAAGCCTTACCAGGTGAAGGGAGAAAAAACCCAGTAACCAAGGGAAGTCAGGAATTGACTGGACAGAATAGATGGTAAAAGGGATGCAGAGAAGAAAGGCCAGATGTGTGGAAGTGGACAGAAAATAAAGGTGAGCATTGGTAGAGAGGTAGAGCATAATGGGAAGAGAAAACGAAAGATGAATGGCAAGGGGGAAAGAAGTGGGGAGCCCAGAGAAAGACAAGGCAAGAAGGGAAGGGGAAAATGACATGAAAGAGGAAAATAGATGATTCTGAGGATATTAACTATACAGCTAAAAAGGGAAGCCACATTTGCATGCAATTGCCTGTGCAGCTGTACATTTCTTCATGGCAATCTTGTAGTCATCATTTTCTTTCATTTTTACCTCCTCCTCCCTCCGCCTCTGCCCCCTCCTCCCTATCAGCCTGGAGCCATTATGAGAGCCAATGGGGGCTGAGGGCTGGGGTTCTGCATGAATGAATGGGTCCTTTCTGTCTCAGCTTCTCGTCATCCTTCTGTCAGGGAACTTTGTGAATCAATGGCGCCCCTTACACAAGACAGGGCTGAAATGTCTGTTACTGTTTATAGTCTGACTGGAGTGGAGCCCACTGACCCTGCCTCCTCTCCATTCCCCTCCTCTGCTTTGTCCCTCAGCTTCAGCCCTTTCTTTTCATCATCATAACAAGAATCACTTTTTATGGCAGGCTCTTGCTCCCTGTCACTAAGAACTCAACAATGTTTTACTGTCATTGGTGATTATGATGAGTTCCTATCCACAGCCCTGTTGAGAAGTGACAGGATAGATGCAAACCATTCTTAGATGGAAGCAGCAAGCCTCAGAGTGGAGTCCACACCTACCTAGAGTCATGCAAAACCTGGCTTCTACTGGAAACCAGAAAGCTGACATCAGAGGCCCAACTGAGCAACAAAACCACAAGACCACAGTCCATCCCATAAATGTCATCGATCCCAGCTAGGATGATCATGAGTGACCATAGTGTATGTCAGAAAACATTATGCTTCTCTGGCACTTTTCAGAGAGATACAGCATTAATTTTTTTCACTAGGATTAGTTTTCAAGTGCAAAATGGATTTCATCTCAAATCAGCTAAATTTATGGAAGTGATGTCGTGATCAAAGTACATGTTTGCAACACACTTGCTTGGAGTTGAAAAGGCATGTGCAGCTATAGAACACAGGAAGCCCAACTTACTTCATGAAAATGAGCTGTGGTCTCATTACCATGGTTCTTAGTTTGAGAAATAAGACACACCTTTTCTCATATAATGCAGTTTGGTGTGTCTGGTTGCTGAGCACAGTAAAACCCTCATCTACCCACGTGTATGAATACCTGTCACTTCCTTTATTCTTGAGAGTGAATGTACATATGGTGCCTCGGTAAAGAATCCAGACTCTGGTGTGTTGTAGGGGGGCTACTCAAGCTACTAGGGGGTGAGGAGGGGGCACTGCAAGAAGGCCCAGGCACAAAAGTGAGATCCTATCTGAAAAGCAAACTAAAACAAAAGGGCTAGAAATGTTGCTTAAGCAGGAAAGCACAAGCACTAGGCCCCGAGTTCAATCCCCAGCGCTGCTGCAAAAGAAAAAAAATTCAGACTGTGGAACCAGATTGCTTGAGTTTGTATCAGCTCTTTGTAACTCTGTGATCTTAGGCAACTTTATCTCTGTCCTTCAGTTTCCTCGTGTATAGAGGGCCTTCTCAAAGTGTGTTCCCAGACCAGCAGAATCAGTATTACCTGAGAACTTGTTAAAAATTAAAAAATCTTGAACCCTACCCCACATCCATTGAAACAGGAACTCCAGAGGTG